CCCCCACTCTGGGAAAAAGCTTCTTGCTATCCACCCTGTCTATACCTCTCATGATTTTGTAGACCTCAATCAGGTCCCCCCTCAACCTCCGTCTTTCTAATGTAAATAATCCTAATCTACTCAACCTCTCTTCATAGCTAGCGCCCTCCATACCAGGCAACATCCTGGTGAACCTCCTCTGCACCCTCTCCAAAGCATCCACATCCTTTTGGTAATGTGGCGACCAGAACTGTACGCAATATTCCAAATGTGGTCGAACCAAAGTCCTATACAACTGTAACATGACCTGCCAACTCTTGTACTCAATACCCTGTCCGATGAATGAAAGCATGCCGTATGCCTTCTTGACCACTCTATCCACCTGCATTGCCACCTTCAGGGTACAATGGACCTGAACACCCAGATCTCTCTGCGCATCAATTTTCCCCAGGGCTTTTCCATTTACCGTATCGTTCGCTCTTGAATTGGACCTTCCAAAATGCATCACCTCGCATTTGCCTGGATTGAACTCCATCTGCCATTTCTCTGCCCAACTCTCCAATCTATCTTTATTCTGCTGCATTCTCCGACAGTCCCTTTCACTGTCTGCTACTCCACCAATCTTAGTGTCATCTGCAAACTTGCTAATCAGACCATCTATACCTTCCTCCAGATAATTTATGTATATCACAAACAACAGTGGTCCCAACACGGATCCCTGTGGAATACCAATGGTCACAGTTCTCCTTTTGGAGAAACTCCCTTCCACTACAACTCTCTGTCTCCTGTTGCCCAGCCAGTTCTCTACCCATCTACCTAGTACACCCTGGACCCCATGTGACTTCACTTTCTCCATCAGCCTACTATGTTATCTCCACTTCAGCATCGGCAGTTCTTACTATCTCTGTGTGAATCTATGGGGGCAGTTTGTATTTGCAGATACATTTTATTTTGCTCAAAAAGCACTAAATTTATAGACAATTAGTCAATATGGTGTTTTATAAATTCCTACTTTAGAAATAAAACCAGTCTGACTCCAAACCAAAACACAATCAGATTCTAAACAAGGCCTCACACCTAACATCCATTGTCTGACCTAAAATGAAATCCTCTTCTTTACACTGATAAAACGTTTAATTCTCTCAGGACTGTGACTTAAAAGGAATTTGGGGATTTACATAAACATATTAATCAATTAAAACCTTCTAAGTGATTCAAGATTTAACAATATCTTAGGTTCGTTTAGTGCATCCTCATCGATGGTGTGACCCTTTGATCTTTTACTTGTAAATTCTGTGTCTGATAGTACCTCTGGCCCTCACACCTGAAGAAGGAGTAAGGCTCTGAAAGCTTCTGTTTTCAAATAAACCTGTAGGACAAGAACCTGGTATCGTATGATTTCTAACCTTGTCCACCCCAGTCAAACACTGGCACCTCCACATCATGGTTATCATCGACACCACCAACTACCAGCTCAAAGAGGAGAGGATCTCCAGGAAAATTGCACATATCAACACAGACATCAAGTTTCTACAAAAATGCAAGGAAGCACAAAAGATCCCAAAACGACCACGGATCACAAACCCACTCAAGTCAATCTACAACACTAATTCCGCTGAGAGACTTTGCTATCGCACCTCTCACAAACTCCTTAATCATCTCGTACACCAACTCTGCAGCAAGTGCCGTAAACTTGAAATCAGGATAGGAGTCCATATTCTCAGCTTGCGCTCAAGGTACAGCAGTACAGTTATGAGACACTGCCAAGCAGATGAGGGAACAGAACTCCACCACTTACATGCACAGCAAGAACACAAAACTGGAGAAACTTGGCATCAGCACCAGCAAGAACCAAGTCTCCCCTGGTACCACAGTCGAAGGCAGTAACGCCACGGGAAAATCAATCATCAGCTTATCTGGCCACACCCTTCAACGAGACAAAATCAAAGTTCTCAGCCGAGGTCTCAATTTCTGGCCCACCACCAAAATGGACCCCACTGGTCTCATGGCAGACACAGAGGAATTCATCAGATGAATGAGACTCTGGGAATTCTTCCAAGATGTCAGCAGTGAGCCCAATGAGACAACCAACGAACCGGATCAGTCGACAGAGAGATCCATGGGGGATCTGGCAAAGAAAGAGTCGAATGGGACCCATCGGAGGGCCGTTGCCTAAGGCTTGACAGCTATGCTCAAGGGATCAGGGAATGCGCGAATGCCAGATTCATCAGCTGGCGCACAAGGTGGCGCAAAACATTACCCAGGCACAACGCAACGCCGTCCATGCTCTCAAGACCAATCACATCATTGTCATCAAACCAGCAGACAAAAAGGAACTATTGTCATACAGAATAGAACAAAATGCTGCAAGGAAGCATACTGACAGCTGAACAACGAGGAACACTACAGACAACTGCCTGCCGATCCAACCAAAGAACACACCTGTGAGCTCAACAGACTGGTCAAGACTTTTGGTCCAGTTCTTCAGAATACCCTACGCACTCTCATCACTCGCACCTCCCGCATAGGGGACTTCTACTGCCTCCCAAAGACATACAAAGCTAACACACCCAGACATCCCATCGTGTCAGGCAATGGGACTCTGTGTGAGAACCTCTCTGGTTATGTCAAGGGCATCTTAAAACTCATTGTACAGGGAACCCCCAGCTTCTGTCGTGACACTACAGATTTCTTACACAAACTCAGCACCCACAGATCAGTCGAACCAGGAACACTCCTCATCACAATTGACATTTCAACACTCTACACCAGTATCTCTCACGACGACAACAGCCTCAGTACTCAATACCAACAACTGCCATTGTCCAAATGCCATCCTACAACTCATCCACTTCATCCTTGACCAGAACGTCTTCAACTTCGACAACCAGCTCTTCGTCCAAACACACGGAACAGCCGTGGGGACCAGATTTGCAGCCTAATATGCCAACATTTTCATGCACAGGTTCAAACAAGACTTCTTTGCTGTGCAAGATCTCCAACCAACGCTATACACTAGATACATTGATGACATTTTCTTCCTTTCGACCCATAGTGAGGAATCACTGAAACAACTACATAGTGATAGCAGAAAGTTTCATCCCACTATCAGACTTGCCATGGACTCCTCTTTAGAATCAGTTTCATTCATGGACACCTCAGTACATCACTCTATCGCAAGCCTACAGATAATCTCACGATGTTGCCCTTTTCTAGCTTCCACCCGAAACATGTTAAAACAGCCATCTCCTACAGAGAAGCCCTACACATACACGGAATCTGTTTGGATGAGGAGGAAAGAGACAGACACCCGAAGGTGTTGAAGGTCGCCCTCATAGGAATAGGATGCAGTGCACAACTCACTGATCATCAGTTCCAAAGTGCCACAGTAAAAACCTGTAATGACCTCTTCAGAAGACAAACATGGGATACTTACATAGGGTGCCCTTCGTCGTCCAGTACTTCCCAGGAGCAGAGAAACTATGCCATGTTCTTCGCAGCCTTCAACACATTATGACAATGATCTTCCCCACGCCTTCAAACAACTGCCAAACCTTAAACAGGCCATAGCTCACAGCAAACTACCCAGACTTCAGGACAACATTGACCACAACACCATACAACTCTGTCACGGCAACCTCTGCAAGACATGTCAGATCATTGACACGGACACTACCATCACACGTGGGAACGCCACCCACCACATACACAGCAGATACGCATGTGACTCGGCCAATGTCGTCTATCTCATGTGCTGCAGGCAAAGATGCCCTGAAGCATGGTCTATTGGCAAAACCATGCAGACGCTACGATAAAGGATGAGTAGAGACCGCGCAACAATCACCAGACAGGGATGGTCCCTCCCAGTGGGGGAACACTTTAGCGGTCAAGGACATTCGGCCTCGGATCTTCGGATAAATATCTGCCAAGGCAGACTTCAGGATACACAACAACACAGAGTCACCGAGCAGAGGCTGATAGCCAGGTTCCGTACCCATGAGGACGGCCTCAACCAGGATCTTGGGTTTAAGTCACACTACAGGTAACCCCCCACCGCTCCCCCAACACTATACACTCTCACTCACGCATACACACACACACACACACACACACACACACACATTCTCTCTCTCCCTCAATCTCTCACACACACACACCCACACACACACATACACATACATATATGTGAATCTATGGAGTAAATTTGTATTTGCAATGAATCTCTGGGGTGAATTTGTATTTGCATACACATTCTGTTTTGTTCAAAAAGCACAGAATTTATAGACAGTTTTCACAATATGGTGTTTTATAAATTCCTACTTTAGAAATAAAACCAGTCTGACTCCAAACTAAAGCACAGATTCTAAACAAGGCCTTACACCTAACATGCATTGATGACCTAAAATGTCACCTCTTCTTTACACTGGTAAAACCTTTAGTTCTCTCAGGACCGTGGTTTGTAAGGAATTCAGGGATTTACATGTACATATTAATCAATAAAAACCTTCTAACTGATTAAAGCGAATCTACACATGACCGCTTGTACCTTCAATGGCATTACCATTACTGAGTCTCCCATTATCAACATTCTGAGGATTACGATTGACCAGGAATTGAACTACACCAATCATAGATATACCCTGGCTAATGGGAAGGACACACACTAGCAATTCTGTGGAGAATAATTCACTTCCTTTCTCCCCGACGCCTGGTGAACAAAGCATAAATCAGAAGTGTTATTCAAATTCTCTCCACTATCCTGGATGCGTGCTGATCCACCAACAGTCAAGAAGTTTAATCCAATCCAGGGCAAAGCAGCCTGCTGAAATGGCATCTCAACCAACATCTTGAGCATTCATTTTCTCTACCACTGATACTCAGTGGCAGCACTATGTTCCATCTACAAGATGCCATGTAGTAACTCACCAAGTAGTAACTCCCTCAAATGCACCTTCTAAACTTGCAACATCTCCCATGTAAGTGTCCAAGACCAGCAGATGCATGGGAATACCAACACCTGAAGGTTCCTTTCCAAACTACAGATCATGTTATTTGGAATTAGCACATTGTTCCTTCATTACCCCCACCTTCTCCAGGGTAATTACAGATGGGAAATAAATGCTGGTTCAGCCAGTGATGTCTACATCCCATTGTATGGGGAAAATACTGGTTATGGCTTGGGTAAACCCTACATCAATCTATTTGGGGGCAGATTAATAAAATCTTAAAATGGGCTAATCAATTAAATTAGAAAGAATGAAAACAAAGTTGCCGGAAAGCTCAGCAGATCTGGCAGCATCTGTGTTCTGAGGAAGGGTCACTGGACCCGAAACGTTAACTCTGTTTTCCTTCACAGATGCTGCTAGACCTGCTGTGCTTTTCCAGCAACTTTGTTTTTGTTCCTGATTTACAGCATCCGCAATTCTTTCGGTTTTTAAATTAGAAAGAAGTCAGAAATTTAGCTGGCCTGCTTAAATAATATTAATTATAGAATTCATTTTATTCATATTCAAGAAAGCTTGTCAGTTTAAAAAGAATTAAAACACATAAGCAAGCTCAAAATGCCGCTTATAGGGCAGCCTGTCAGGTACAATTATGGGGGCCTCGAGGTTGACAGAACAGCACAGAAGAAAGGTGGAATAGATTAAGACCAGAGACGTTAGGCACCACTGGCATTTTTGATATGTTGGAAACAACTTATTTCATTGAAACAGACCATTTTGGAATTCGAGTAATGTACCTTCTACCTGACTTGCAATGTATAAATATCAAGTGTTTCTTACTGGTTGGCACAGTAATTCCTTAGAATCCTCTGAGGTAGGCTCTCCCAACATTGACTCAATAAATATTTGTTAAACCCGTGCCTGAAGACGGGGTGGTTAAGAAAGCGTTTCGCACACCTGCCTTTATTGCCCAGACCTTTGAATATAGAAATCAAGGCATCATGTTGAATTTATACAGTACATTGGTGAGGCCCCTTCTGGAGTACCATGTGCAGTTCTGGTTGCACTGTTATGGGAAGGATATTTTTAAACTGGAGAAAGTTCAGAAAAGATTTACCAGGATGTTGCTGGGAATGGAAGGTTTAAGTTAGAAAAATAATCTGGATAGGATAGGACTCCTTTCACTGCAGCATAGGAGGTTGAGGGGTGACCTTATAGAGGTTTATCAAATCATGAAGGGCATAGATAAGGTGAATGACAAGGGTCTTTCCCCTAGGTGGAGGAGTTCAAAACTAGGGGACATGTTTTTAAGGTGAGAGGAGAAAGATTTAAAAGGAACATCAGGGGCAACATTTTTACACAGAGAGTGGTTTGTGTGTGGAATTCAACTACCAGAAGAAATGGTGGATGGAGGTATGGTTACACTGTTTAAAAGACATTTGGATAAGTACATGACTAAAGGTTGGGAGGAATATGGGCCAAACACAGACAGGTAGGGCTAGTTTAGTTTGGGAACATGGTCGAAGTCGACTAGTTGGATTGAAGTGTCTGTTTCCATGCTTTATGACTCTATGACTCTATAACCTACTTCAACGCCATAATGAAATTTTAAAAAGAAATAAATGCTTTAGGATGAGGTTGTTGACTTGCTCGCCGAGCTGGCTTGTTTTTGTTCAAACGTTTCATCACCATGCTAGGTGACATCATCAGTGGAGCCTCTGATGAAGCGATGTTATTCTACTCCGCTTGGAATTTATACTGTTCGGTCCGTTG